GTAATTTACCCTGTCAACTTTCCCTGCAACGTTGAAAAAAAGAAACAAGTAAAAAAGCTGTAAGTTCGGGCCGAACTTTGAATACCCTCCAACATTTGGTACAAATTTTGCAATTTTCAAAAAATTTAAATCCATTAAAAATTCAGTTAAAATCTTAAAAATACCGAATGAAGCCGTATATTAGGGTCTATATGAAAACGTGGAGCTGCACATACAATTTGCTGTCATAGGCTGTAGTATTCATTACGAACTTCAAATACTTAATTTGAAATAGTTCCGGTAAGTAATATCGCTAAAATCATCAAAACACCGAATATCGGGGGACACCGTTATATGGGGGCTATACGGAGACGTGGACCTACATGGCCCATTTTCAATACCAAAAGTCCTACAGTCATAATACGCATTTGAGTAAATTTTTATCAACTTACTTCATTTCGTTCGGAAGCTAGAGTGATTTCCACAGACGGACAGACGGATAGACTGTTATGCTGATCAAGAATATATATACTTTGTGGGGTCTAAAATGTATATTTCGAGGTGTTACAAACGGAATGACAAACTTAATATACCCTCCATACTATGGTGCAGGTTATAAAAATGTAAACATATAATTGCATGACTTTACCATCTTTTTCTACCATAGTTGAAACCTTAAATTTTCCTTTGTCCTTGTTGACATTAATTTATTTTTTTTTATACCCTCCACCTTGGAAAGGAGGGTATATTAACTTTGTCATTCCGTTTGTAACATCCCTAAATATTCATTTTAGACCCCATAAAGTATATATATTCATAATCAGCATAAAATTCTAAGTCGATTTAACGATGTCCGTCTGTCTGTCTGTCCGTCTGTCTGTTGAAATCACGATACAGTCCACATTATTTGACGTAGAGCTCCAAAATTTAGCAGAGCTATTTGCATTGTGTCTAGGATGGTTGGTATTGAAAATGAGATATATCGGTCCACGTTCTGGTATAGTCCCCATATAACGGTACCTCCCGATATTCGGTATTTTGATGATTTATACCACATTTTTTCACGGATTTGTCTTAAAATTTGTATTTGTAGGTCATAGCGGGTCCCTGAGCGTGTGGCAAAACATTGCATGTACAGGTCCACGTTGTGGTATAGCCCCCATATAAAGGTACCTCCCGATATTTAGTATTTTAGTTTTTTTACCACATTTTTTCACGGATTTGTCTGAAAATCGGTATTTGTTGGTCATAATGGGTTCCAGCTCCGGTGGCGAAACATTGTAATTATAGGTCCACGTTTTGGTATAGCCCCCATATAACGGTACCTCCCGATATTCGGTAATTTGATGATTTTTGCCACATTTTTTCAGGGATTTGTTCGAAAATTGGTATTTGTTTTTCATAATTGGTTCCAGCTTCGGTGGCGAAACATTGCATGCATGGGTCCATGATTTGATATAGCCCCCATATAACGGTACCTCCCGATATTCGGTATTTTGATTGTTTTTGCCACATTTTTTCACTGATTTGTCTAAAAATTGGTATTTGTTGGTCATAATGGGTTCCAGCTCCGGTGGCGAAACATTGTAATTATAGGTCCACGTTTTGGTATAGCCCCCATATAACGGTACCTCCCCATAATCGGCATTTTAATGGTTTTTGCCACATTTCTTCTAATGTTTCTTTTACCCTAAAGTGGAGGGTATTAAAAGTTTGGCCCGGCCGAACTTAATGTTTTTTTACTTGTTTTTAAATGAATTTATTTTATTTTCCAAAAAATCACAATGGTTGTCAATTACAACAGATGTACACGCAGCTGCCAGCCGCTAAAGCAAAACATGACTCAAAATAAAACTCCGAAACTAGTGGGAAATTAATCGCTGAAGTGAACTATATTTAGTCATATAACGAACACCTTATTTTATTTTTTTGACTTGGTTCTCTTTAGCTGTGAAATCTTCAAATTTTATTCAGAGTAATAATGAACCAAAGTAGGTTTTTTTGTTTTTGAATATTTTTTTAGTAATATATTTAAATTATTTTTATTTTAAATTAATATCATTAGTTAATTTTGAATATAGTCTTTTACATTTTCTTTTGGTAGACTAAAATATTCCTTCCAGAAATTAATGGCAGTGCATTTACTTTACCTCTAAATATCTTCGAATTATGTTTTTATGACTTAGTTCGGTATAGCTGTGAGCCCTTCATATAATTCAACTCATCATATATAATTCGACGCTTCATATTGAACTCTCAACAACTCAGTTATACTATCAACGCATATTATACACTCAAAGCATCTTATACTCTCTATTTCTCATATTAACCCTCAACTTTTCATATGTTCGACGCTTTATATTCAATTCAACTCATCATACACCTCAACTTTTCATATATTGTTCGACGCTTTATATATAATTCGACGCTTCATATATAATTCAACTCATCATATATAATTCAACTCATCTTATATAATTCGACGCTTCATATTGAACTCTCAACAACTCAGTTATACTCTCAACGCATATTATACTCTCAACGCATCTTATACTCTCTATTTCTCATATTAACCCTCAACTTTTCATATGTTCGACGCTTTATATTCAATTCAACTCATCATACACCTCAACTTTTCATATATTGTTCGACGCTTTATATATAATTCGACGCTTCATATATAATTCAACTCATCATATATAATTCGACGCTTCATATTGAACTCTCAACAACTCAGTTATACTCTCAACGCATATTATACTCTCAACGCATCTTATACTCTCTATTTCTCATATTAACCCTCAACTTTTCATATGTTCGACGCTTTATATTCAATTCAACTCATCATACACCTCAACTTTTCATATATTGTTCGACGCTTTATATATAATTCGACGCTTCATATATAATTCAACTCATCATATATAATTCGACGCTTCATATTGAACTCTCAACAACTCAGTTATACTCTCAACGCATATTATACTCTCAACGCATCTTATACTCTCTATTTCTCATATTAACCCTAAACTTTTCGTATGTTCGACGCTTTATATTCAATTCAACTCATCATACACCTCAACTTTTCATATATTGTTCGAAGCTTTGTATATAATTCGACGCTTGGAAGTTGCCTTAGAAGTGAAATTTGGAGAATTTTCAATTTATTTCAAGAATAGAAATGACGCAATAGAAATTCGACAAAGTTCATGAATATAATACATTTAAAAAGCTGGCTTTCGGCGTGCTACCTATTGTAACGCTTTATAAAGCTATGAACTTAAAAAAAAAAAAGACTATGGAAAAATCCGGTAAAATGTTTTCCAAGTTTGAAAATGCGAATAAAAAAGCAGCAGTAGCGATTTGCGAAGCTAGAGCATTTCTATGGGACTAACTAGGTTTTTCTTTTCTTCTAAATATTTATCAAAAACAGAAATAAGATGTAATATTGTCGGTACTACTGTGAAATCTAATTCTTTTTTGAATGAATTAGTCGTTTAGAGTAAAACATGTCAATATCTTTTGCTAATTTTTCTTTCCACATTTTTTATGCTTTTTTGGATTGTTCAAAATCTACGATGTAAAAATCGCAAAATTCTGGTTTTGTTTGATTGAAAAATCGCAAATTCTGATTTTTGTTTGATTAAAAAATGTCAAAATTCTGGTTTCGTTTGATTTTGTATTCGCAAGTATTTTTTCTAATGCGAAGGCTTTTTGCTATGTCCTTGCAGAGATAAAAATATAGATAATTGTGGATTTTAAACAAACAAGTTTTTGTCGCTTAATGATCAACAACAAATATCATGTACAGAGTTTTAAGGAACAACGATCTCTTAATTTTTTTGTACAAAAACATCATAATATATTTGAAATAGCTGTGTTTTTAAGATTTTCATTTATCGTCTCCGACTTGAATTCAGAAATTCATACTTCGTGAATTAATAACCAATAAACGGTATTTAGGTTAAGTTTTTTTCTTAGCCAAACGCTAACGCAAACGTGGACCGCTAATTTTCCTAAAGTAGATTTTTTCAAATAAATCACACTTAAAAATGAATCCATTTTATGGTCATTTGCTAATTGTATGTTATATCAAGGACAGCCTTTATAGTATTAATTAAATTCTATATTTAACGACTTGATGATTCCCTGAATATTTTTGGGATTATCCATAAAAATATTTAAATATAAAACCGAATCACAATACCCTCTGCTTTTGTTGAGTAGCTTTACACAACAGGTATTTTTAATTTGAGATTAGACTGTGTGAAAAAAAGAGATGTATATATAACTTCTTCTAGCAAACTTTTCGGCATTTTTACCTAAGCACACATTTGGAAGGTTCCTACGATTGGAATAAATTTATTAAAGCATTTGAATATGGAAACGTTCAATATTTCTAGGTTCTTTTTGTGGTGGTATTTTTACATTTTTGTATTTAAGAAATACAATTTAAAGTCCTAGGGGACAATGGCTAGTCAATTTCGTTTAAATTGCAAATTAAAGGACATTTTCTCTTCAGATATGCTATCCAGTTTTATGAAGGATTGCTTGTCTTACTACTTCATCTAAAAAAATCTGACTACATGAAATCTCAATCGATATATCTGTTTTCTTAATTCGACTATTTAAATGAAAAAATTGTTTGTCAAAAAATGCAAATAATTTGAAAACAGCTATTAATTTGCTACGGTAAAGATTTGCTTCCAGAACTTGAGACGAACTTGGAAGGCTTCTGGTGTTTAATTTATTAATTTTCTTCTCAATTTGACAAATTTAAAAATGATAAACGATTTGTGGAAACTGAATGTACATAACTAACCCTCTGACAGGTTTTGTTTAAAAAAATTTGTAAATTCTTGTCTGCTCAAAAAATTCTTGCCTTTCCCATAATTTCTATTGCGCCATATAAATATTCTTCTAATAAATCTATTGAAATTTATAAAAAAAAAAAAAATTAAATTGTCCCGAAAACCTAGTGAACCTGTTCTTTTTGCATTTTTGAATTTGAAAAATATTAAGGAATATTTTTCATATTCGGGATGATAACATTTATGTTTAATCTAAAGCTAAAATATCTAATTTTTTTACTCTTTTTACTTTGATGTTGATAGTCTTTGTAATAAAATGTAGGTAGCCATGTAAATTTCCTAAATCTTAGACATTATTGTCTCTTGTTTCTGCAAGTAATCGTAATTCCTGTGAACCATACCAATATTAGTATGTATAAGTCTAGATAAAACTCCTTTATCGAAAGGTAACTTTTCTAATATTGAAATTCGTTCTAGTTTATAGAAACTACTTCTAAAAAAAATAGCTACTGCGACATTTATATAAATCATTTCAGATTTCATTTGAAATTGTTTTTAAAGTGGCTGTTTCGAAATTATATTTTGTACGCATTTCATTAAATAAGACCATTTTTATATATCAATTACGCATTTGAACGCATTTTCATAAAAACCATTTTGAATATTATCTCTCGTTGACCACCTAACTCTGATTATTCTCAAATATAGTATGGGGTTTCTTGTATCATGAACGACGCAATTTTTGATTTTATCTGATACCCAATTAATTTCGTCAATTTTTATTAAAAATATTTATCGTACTTTGTTATTTTCTCGTTTTGTAATTTAATTTCGATGATTCTTAAATGTTGTATGGAGTAGTTTTCTTATTCATGTACGACGCAATTTTTGATTTTATATGATACCTAATTTTATCAATTTTTGTTTTAAATAATTATCGCTTTATATGTTCTCTTCTCATTTTATGTGTTTTTCTTTGTATTTTTATAATTGTATTCGAAATTTTCATATTCCTCATTGTGAGATTACCATTTTAGGTTGAGTTGCGAATTTTGTCTGAATTTTTGTATTTTAATTCGACGACTTCATATACTCTTTACACGCACCCTATTTTAAAAACCCTTCTTCGTTATTAATTTTTCGTACTTTTCAGTTTTTCATTTTTACTATAATTTGATATCGCAGCTACGATTTTTAAATTATAACCATAAATAGTATTTATATTCATTGTTCTAATTTTCATTATTAATTTATATTTCGTTGACTGAGCGTTGAGATACGGCGGGGGTATTACTTTTTTACTCTTTTATTATTCAGATTACTCATATCATTCAGAGATATTATATAACCAATACGATTCTCAAATTCTTCTTTTGTATTTTGATTTCAATTGTGCTTCATTTTTAATATTTCTTAAACTGTTTCAAGTTTGAAATTGTTAAAATAATGTTTGTTTTTGTTTATATAATCTGTTAAAATTTTAAAATGAAATTCCCTACCTACACTGTATTTTGACTTATCTTCTAAAATTCTACTATTTCTATAATCCTTAAGCTGCTGTTTCGTAGGCATAAATATAATAAAAAAATATTTACTACAACTATTACTCACTTTGTATTGAAATACGTGTAAAGAACGCAGGTTCGTACGTTAATATAACGTAGTCACACATTACGTATCAATAACGACGTAGTTTTAATTCGTTCCTCTTTTCACGTTGTTCTCTCTATTTTGGATGGGAATACTGTAAAGAAATGGCTGTGGGGGGAAGGAAGAAAAAGCTTTGGCTGGCTGTACCCTACCGCCGTCTCCTCTATTGATGATGATCGAGAGTATGAAACTCGAAGCAATCACAAGGGGAACGGAGTGGTGGTGGTGGTGTAATAGCACAAAGCTGATTTTTTTTTTTGTGTTTTGAAAGGAAAAACAATTTTTGATAGAGTTGGTTTTTTAGAAAAATCATATTCTCATATATTTATTTCAAAAAATATTTGGTTTTTTCATTAGAATTTCTTCTTTTTTCTTTTGATCTTTTTTTGTAAATCTTTTTTCTTTTTTGAAATATTTTTGTTTTGTTTTTTTTTTCTGGAGAGATATTTTTAAACAAGAAAATGAGGGGCATATAATGTTGATATTAATTATATGTATTATAATTTTTTTACTGAAGAATGCTTAATAAATATTCTAGTCACATAGCTGGAGGAACAAACGTTTGAAGAAATAAAACTAAAGACAACTTAAGGTTTACATTGTAATCATAATAAATTTGTAAAAAAAAGAACATGTTAGATATACTCTAGACACGTTGGTGTTTTATTAATTAGTAATAACAAATTATTATGTGTAGATGATAAATCTATAAAACACTTAACCCTTAGGTTGGCATAAGGGAACGAAGTTCTTTTTTATGGGTTTATTTATTTCTAAATAACGTTGTTTTTTACTAAAGCATTATCATATATCAATCAATCTACATTTTCTTTTAGTTTTTTTTAGACAAAAAATATTTTTTAAATATTCTAAACGCATATCTCTCAGATAGCTCTAGCAGTTTCAGATCAGTTGGTCGTGGGGGTAGTAGGTTTTCAATGCTCATTCAGAGTCTGAGTGATGTGTTTGTTTCTCTCTGTGATAATTATCTGCCTGCCTGATAGATAGATATTGATTATTCCTTTAATTCTCTCTCAGAATATTTTTCGCTCGGATATATTTCATAAACGCAGTGTAATTTATTCTCGTACACATTTCGCATTCATTACACATTCATACTCTCTCTCTTCTTTCTTCATGAAATTCATATTCAAATACCATACTTTTACTCTCATCATTTATGATTTGCGACAGATCTCAGATTGTGTAGATGTGATTCGCTTCATATACATATACATCGTGTCTACACCTCATGTACTCTATTATATATAATATATGTACACTCAACTCTAGCATAGCAGTATATAATGTAACCACAAAATCGCAGTTTCAATAATTCGCAGTTTTCTTAAAGATGAGATGATTAAATCGGTTGAATTATCTACGCCTGAATTAATTTCTTTCTATTGAATACGAAAATACGTTGTCACGGCGACGAGACGAGACGAGAATTGGACGGACGAGATATTCCGAGCAAACTTAGCATATATTACAATGATAAATTTACACGACGCCGCCCATTATAATAACCACATATAATTTCGCTAAATGATTTAAAAAAGAAAGGCATATTGTAAGTTTCAAAGAAGTAGTAGTAGTAGTAGAATGGAGAGATAAATAATAAAGAGATCTTATTTGCAATATAAATTTGTAAATATAGTAAATATAGAAAATACGCCTAAAAGTATGCTTTAATATTGGAGGGAGTCGAAACACATATAAAGTGAAAGACAACACAAATATGATTGGCAACGTTTGAATGTTGCAACTATCAATACTCACACAAAAAGTGAGATGGGGATTAAGAGAATGCGCCAGCAAACAAATTTCTGTTATACAGAAAGAGATGGAAACTTTTGGGTAGCCCACACTTGACGAAGGCGTTGCCAGAATTGACAATATTTAAGACAGCATGGAAAAATATTAGATGCTACGCTACAGAGGATTAGGTTTGGGGAAACAAAGCTATTTGTATTCTGGGCTGATTTCCATTAAATGAAGACAGCATAAAGTTCTGGAAACTCCAACATGCTTGTTGAGAAAAAAAAAACTGCTGGAGGAAAAAATGATGTATGGAAGTCAAACACAAAGATTTGTAATTAAAAATAAATACACTGCGTTGCAGAAACAACGCACAAGTAAAAAATTAGGCGCATGGCAAGTTTTTGTGATCCCCCAGTGTGATTTTTTCCAGAAATTTGATATACACACTTGAAATTTGTGGTATATATGGAAAAATTTGGACAGAAAATATTTTGTAGAGACTCCAGGAAAATCTTGTCAACATTTACAGTTATGAAATAGTTAAATCGATTTACAAAACAATGAGTGTAGAATTTCCAATGGAATGTTTTACCAACACAAAGACATCTTTGGCATTACGCCATATTATGAAATTGTTCCTCACTAACTACGCAGTTAAGGTTATTTTTTGCAAATTGTTTATAAACAAGAATGAACATACTTTTTTTTCGTATGCAACAACAAAAAAAAAAATAGGTATATATAATAGTAAAAAAAACAATGCTTACGGCTTACGTTTTGACAACCAAAGCTCCGCTAAGGAAAAGCTAGCTAGTCATAAACCCAAGACACACGACACAACTTCAGGAAGAGACCGATTCATCATCAAAACCACAAGGTCGCTGTGTTCCAAGCCTACTCAGAGAAGTCAACAGCCATTTCTTGCTAGATTCCCAAAACTCTTTCTCTCTTTGCCTAGATGTTTCATCCTCGCAGCTCTATCAGTTTAGCCATTAACACGAATGGATTCCGCAAAATTTTACTTCAAATTTCTTTCCCAATTTGCAAACAGCATTTCACAATATTTCTGCTCTCAACTATTTCTTTATCAGCCTATTTTACTCGAACAACAATATTCTGCTTCTTTTGATGACTCAATGCGATTTACAATAAAACGCTTGACAATAACGGGGAACAATACAGCCATTTTTACTTTGGCAAAAACCACACTCTTGTTTTCACACAGAATACACTTTTGGTATTACACTTTTACAACTAAATAATATTCCACTTCTTTCCGTCTCCTAGACAAGTTTACAGCAAAATTTCAAAAATACAACTGATACAGTGGCCAGCTGCTCAGCGGTATTTATACTCTATCGTGGCAGCTGGCAATATTGGAATACCCAGGAAATTTCCATTGACCCTCTCTAGCACATTCGATTGTCGTTGGCAATCGTCTGGTTGTTTCTGTTTGCTCATGCGTGTTATCTCTTTCCTTTGTTTCGAGTGTTATAAACTGTTATAACCCAAAGGGGGGTAAAGAGAGAGGATTATTATTCCATTGTTTTGTGGCTGACAAACCACATTTGGAAATGGATTTCTCAGTGGAAACCTAGGAAAAATCTAGAAAACCCGTTATGAGGAATTTTCCAGGCCCCAGGGAAAACATGGAACAAGATATTCCCTACAAAGGGCAAAGATGCTGGTTCTGGAAAAAGCCAGACGTTGGCAAAAACTACCAATGAATTAGCTATGTTTGTGTGTGTGAGTGTGTTCATGAGAATCAAAACAAGAGAGACCAGCTAATGTTAATTGTTATACAAATTTAATGACAGGGACAGGTATACGTCAAAGCAAACATTCACTCATAATTGCCATATTGTGAAAATGGCAAATTAGTGTGGGATAGGAAAAAGTGAGGTGGACGGGAGGTAACAGTATATTTGCTTATTATTTTTTCTTCTACCAGTTATTTTTTTAACTACACTTGTATTTCGTCAAATTACAAAATAAAATTATTATGGCATGACAATTTAAGTCTTTTTCAAATGTTCCACTTTCTCCAATCATTAGAAAATTCTGGACAAACAGCTTTCCAAGAGAAACGTCATTACATGTAAACTATTACATACATACAAGGTTCTCAAACATTTACGAATAATTGTATGTCGCTCTCCATGGAAAACGTCCAATGGACAATTCTAGAACTCTTGCCAAACAGGCAGCAGCGAGAAATGTAAACAAACCCACGATTTCCTTTTTTTTGCAATCAGTGCACGTCATTGAATATTTTTTTGCAAGGAACAGTGGTACAAGCACAATTTTTTTTTCTTAATATCAAATGCGTAGTAATATCTTAGCGTTTGGAGTTAATATACCCTCAGCCATGTGTCTAGAGAGGGTATATAACATTTGATACGGCCAAAGCGTGCCTTATCGAAATTAAGTTTTTAGGCCGATTTGTAGGACTTTTGGAGTCAATCTATCAATGACCGTCTGTCTGACAGGTGCGCACGATAACTCTCGAATATTATTTTCAAACTTCGGAGATGGACAATATCGGTCAACTCCTTCTGGCACCTCCCACACAAAATATCGACATTTTCAAAAAATAAAAAAAAAAATAACTTTGCAAATACTAATGCATAAGTACTAGGTCAGGTACGAAAATGGACAATATCCGTCCCTCCACAAGGGGTCAAAATTGTGAATAATTATAACTCTCATAAAAAGTCTTCAAAAGAGTGTGCCTTCAAATTACACACATCACAATATTTTTATTGACCCAAGTTCTGGTGTGAAGATGGAATACATCGGTGCACTCCTCCCCCACAAAGAATCAACAATTTGAATATTCCTGAAGCCTATAAAACCGATTCCATTTGGAATTGGTACATCGCAAGATCTGTTGTTAAGATGGTAGAGATCGGACCATTTCTTCTTGTACCTCCTCAACAAAGTCTTAAAATTTGAATAATCATAAGACTCATAAAATGTGCCCGACTGTCTTCAAATTACACACATCACAATATTTTTATTAACCCAAGATCTGGGGTGAAGATGGGATATATCGGACCACTTCTTCTGGTACCTCCCCCACAAAGGGTAACAATTTTGAATATTCATGAAGCTCAAAAAACACGAAATCAACATCCGATTCCATTCAGACTTGGCCCATCTCAATACTTCCATCAACACAAGATCTGTTAGAAAAATGAACATTTCTTCTGGTACCTCCCCCACATAGGGTTCGAGATTTTGAAAGACAAAACGCTTTAAGAAAGCGAAATATGCATCCAACTCCCTTCAAATTTCACAAATCCGTATATTTTTACTAACGCAAGATCTGCCAACTCCTTCTGGTACCTCACCAACAAAGGTTCACAATTTCCAATATTTATATCTATAATAACTTGCGAAACAAATCATATCAGATTTCTGACTAAGAGAAACTGTCGGAATTTTTTATTTCGCATAAAATTGGATATAAATGTTTGCTTTCCTTCAAATTTTGCACATATCAATGGAATACTTCGGTCCGCTGTAACTGTTACCTCACGCATATTTCCTCATTTTTCAAAAACTGAAAATAAAAATTGCACCATGAGTATCAAATTAAAGTTGTGGAAAAAAAGTAATGACAATGAGATTCTGTCAAAATTATACTTTTCAAAAGTAACATTCTAATCATTTTTAGACCAGTTTTGTAATCATTTTTAGACCAGTGATTGCCATTTGGCACATGAAATGCATTGCATTTCCCATGTTGTGCACAATTTAAATGATTTATTTCCACAATACATTTCCTGTTTCCACATGGCGTGTTGCATCTGCACCCCTATTGAAATTATTTACCCAGAGGGGTTGAATTTTTTATTCTATGTATACTTGTGTGCATTTACTTCCATAGATACATATGGGGGTAAAACAAAGCAGCGGATGTGAATGAAAACACACAAGTTTTACATTGACACACATTTGTTAAAAATTCCTCGAAACAAATGGGAGTTCAGTACCGACGTATTTCGATGGCTTAATAAATTGTAAAGTTTAGGCCAGTGAAAATGGAAACAATTGATCTGCAATGGAATTGCATGCACATTCAGAATTCAAATCCAACCAAAATGCTTAGAGGTCTTGTGGTTGGTTGCATTTGAAAACTTTTACATTATTGCAGTTCTGGAACAGAGCATGGTAAAAATTAAGAAGGTAAAGTCATTTGAAATAAGCATATCCGTCTTTGAATTTTCTGTAATTTGCCTGTCAAATTTTAAAGCGTAGAAAACAGGTTCCGATCTCTAATTTGTGTATTGATATATTTTGACAATGAGATGTTGTCAAGCGTATAATTTACAAATAAAATAGTATCAGTCGGTTTTGTCGTACAGATTGAAAACCCCAGAGCCTTAAGTTATGATTATTCAAACGGTTGACCCTTCCGAAGCAGTTGGCCAATATTGACCAACTCGTATCTGACCTAAAACTGATATAAATACTACAACGTGCCAGATTTGGACTATATCGACTATTTCCTGTACTTTATATGAGATATGTGAACATTTGTGGAAATATGCGTGAGGTAACAGATACAGCGGGCCGAAGTATATCTAATACAGATAAATATATTGGTATGTGCAAATTATGAAGGAAATCAATTATTTATATCAATTTTTATGCGAAATCATAAATTTCGATAAATTATATGTTCATATCAGATTTCTGGTTAAGAGATATATTTAGATATATCAAGTTGTAGAATCGCTGACTTGTTTCGCAAGTTATGGCAGATATAAGTATTGGAAATTGTGACCCTTTGTGGGTGAGGTACCAGAAGGGGTTCACAGATATATATCATCTTCACAATAGATCTTGTGTTAGCAAAAATGTTCGTTAGTATGAAATTTGAAGAGAGTTGGATGCTTATTTCGCTTTCTTTGAGAGTTTTGTTATTCAAAACTTTGACCCTTTGTGGGGGAGGTACTAGAATGAATGGTCCGATTTCTACCATCTTTATAACAGATCTTGTGTTGCTGGAAATATTGATATGTGCCAAGTCTGTGTTGAATCGGATGTTAATTTCGTTTTTTATGAGCTTCATTCATATTCAAAATGTTGACCCTTTGTGGGGGAGGTACCAGAAGGAGTGGAGCGACACATCCTATCTTCGCACCCGAAGATGCGTGTAATTTGACCCTTATATCACATTTTATAAGAGTTATAATTATTCAAAATTTGGACCCTTTGTGGTGAAGGTACTAGATTTGATGCAAATATTAGGATTTGCAAAGTTGCAGCAAAATCGGATTATCCTTTCCCTTTCTGCGCATCAAATTATTTTCTTTGCAAATGTTGACATTTTATGGGGGAGGTACCAGAAATAGTGGGCCGATATTGTCCATCTCCGAGCTCGATCTAAGTTTGACAAGAATATTACGATGTACCAAGTTTGGATCAAAACAGATAAACCCTTCCAGAGTTATCGTGCGACCAGCCAGACAGACGAACGAACGGACATAAAACAGTCTCCTATCTCCGATTTCTGGGTATAAAATGGATTTATAAATATAAATTTTGACAAAAAAATATTGTCAAATAAATAATTTTGAAAAAAAAAATAATGTAAACATATGATTGGATGACTTTACCTTGTGATTAGTGTAGCATGGTAAGAATTTCAAAAATATCCAACATCAGAAATAGCTCTGGTTCTTTTTGTTCAAGGATCTTCATTTCCTGTGCAGTTCAGAGATAATTCCTGTTTACACTTTACTATTCTTGCAACATTTGGAAAGGAAAGCAAAGGTGAAAAATAATTCAGATAGATACGCTTCTCAAATTACCTTATTGAACCACTGTAAGTAGATATTCTATTTTAATATTCTAGTTCCTTGGTTTTCAAACAATAACAGAAAATGTGTTGTGTTAACTATTTTCGCTTATTTACACAAGTTTGAGGAAATGTTTCCTTTATGAAAATATTTAACATTAATTTTTTTCTTTATTTAGTGAAGGCTGGTCATTTTCAATGGCATCGGCAAAAATGTACGTACGTATGTATTAATGTGTGTGTGTGTGCATGTTTGTGTTTTGGTAAACACTCATCGCCTCAGACGTTGTTTGCGGCACGTACCGTATAACAGAATTGTTGTTGATAGAAAACGTTTTTCTTCCAAGACATATTCTCCTTTCCTCTCTCTCTCTCTGAGGCAGTTAGAGGAAATGAGATAGAAACAAACTAGCAGCTGTTCGGTGTATAACAGTAGAAACATAAATAGAGAATATTTCAGTGGAATTGTTTAAAATTTGTTCTTCCAATGCAAATGCCGGAAATTAATCGATATTTGCAATAACTAAATGTTATTTATTAAATAGAATTAACTGGCAATAAAATGTTTTATTTGGGATCGAAAAAAATAATTAAAACTGTTTGTTTTGGGCATTTCCTTGTTATTATCTGCCACCGCCTAATGCCCAGAAACCACCGAATGTTTCATTATTAACATTTTTTTTCATAACCTTTTGTACTGAACAATAACAATATAACGTGCACTTTTATTAATATTTTTGTTCCTTTGATTTTAGCTGCATAAAATGTACCAGTATTTACGTATATGTTAAAAGATGACTTCGAGAATTTTCCAAGCATCCTCCCACATTGGGCGTTATTGATTTATTTTCTAAAGGATAATTGGGGAAGGTGCATTCGCAGTATACAGATGCATATAACCGGCAACGCTCTCATCTGCTTGATGACCTAAATCCTTTGGAACACACACATTTACAACTAGGATATACACACATATGTTTTTAAGGGTAACTGGTTTTGTAGAAAATTCCAGAAATTGAGAGGAAATAAAAATGATTGCTCAGAGTTAACTTTGGAATAATTCTCGAAGAATCTACATGCACATAGAGATATACAAATATGCACATGCACATAATGTACAAAGGTAGTACAAATTATTCTGGAACAAATTAATGTCTACTTATGAATTTATGAATAAATAAATGTTGTGACGGCCCCTCTATCGCTGCCAAGTTACGGAATTTTGGGGGTAACGGCAAAAGGTTAGGGAATCCTG